CAAATTTTGGAACGCCTCTTTAGAGTAATGACCATCGCAGACAATGGCCGTATGACAACTAATCGACAGTCGAGACATAGTGTCAGGATGTGTAAATAGTAAATAATAAACACTTCAGATACACCGGCGTGTGGATCAGCTATAACAAATGAAGTATAGAAGAAAAAGAAAGTGAACACAAAATAGGCTGTAGCAGACGTGGTTTTGACCCAACACCACAAATTGCTAAGAAGCTAAAACATCAATCTGAAAGCTCGAATCATGTTCTTGATCGAACATCGAACATATGGACGTCGTGCATGGTGCTAAACGCGTTCAGAAAGATCTAAACTGTCAGCTGTATACAACCACTTCCTAAGATCAATGACGAAAAACTGAACGAGTACAGCCTGGGGGTTTTGAAAAAAGGTCTTCTTTATTTAAAACTGGTGAGCTGGCGCTACAGAATCCCGAACAAGTAACTGTACCAAATAACAGAAACCACATCACTTGAAGAATGCTAACAACAAAAATGGATAGCACATGTAACTCAAAGAGAAAATAATGACATAATTAAGATGTTGACATTCCACACCACTTCAAGCAAAAGGTTAGGAAGGAAACCCCCATTAATATTGGAAAGAACGATAATAACTACTGGGCTTGAGAAACCTGCTTCCCTGAAAAATTGTTTGAAGGTAAATATTTCATAAATTTTTAACCGAGGGTATTACAGGCTGCCCAGTCAATGAATGCTAAATGTTTCCTTGTAAGGAAGCAGCTAATATTAGCATTACCATAAATAGTCCTGATTCAAATCTTCCTCTATAAAACAGAAAATCGTTTTATTGAATTCGAGGGGAAAATAAAATATTTTCAAATGTTCAGCGTTAATATCTATTAACGCTTTATTATTCATTAGTTTTTTAATAGCTATCTTAATTTGCTCATCTTTAGGTTCGTTATAGTTTATGTTTGGAGACGGACTTTGTAATAATTGGATCGATATTGTTCTATTTATTCGGGCATTTTTAGTTTAGAGTGGTCAGGGATGAAATTTGATTTGTTCTTTTGTTTTGGGGGGGTTTTTTCCGGGCCAAGCTATTTCGTCTGTGTTTATTTCGATTGTATGGATTTATTGTTTTTTTTTTGTTTTTTTTTTTGGCTTTTCTCCACATTTCAGCACACTGTCTACGCCGTTTGGCTTCGTTAATTTCGATCACGTTCTCCGAAGTTATTGGTTTCTCTGAGAGTTAAAAAATAAATACACCATTAACTTATTCTATCGTAACCGGTTTCGCATAGGTTAAGCGTATAATAAGATAATGAAAACATCGTGAATATAATTCGTCAGTTAACAAAAAAAAGGATCTTAGATTTATCATTTATCACAAAAACATATCAAAACATCTAACGCACCCTCAACTCCTCACCTATGTAAAAATGTTGCTTCTGGATATATAAGAACACTGGGAGACTGCATCTCTAGTATTAACAACCAACAAACAACATTAGATTCTTACATTGGC